ACGAATTCATTTATGTTCCTTTTGGTATTTCCAATGCCCCAGCAGTGTTCACTCGATACATTTTCGCAGTGTTTCGAGACTTAGTGAAGGATGGCATCGTGGTAACTTACATGGATGATCTTATAATTCCTTCTATTAGTTATGACGAGGGTAYATATAAGTTGAAAGCGGTGCTGAATAGGGCGGCATGTTACAACATAAGGATTAAGTGGGAGAAATGCCAGTTCCTGAAGACGACTGTTGATTTTCTGGGGTGTATTATAGAGTGTGGTACAATAAGACCATCACGAGCAAAAACGCAGGCAGTTAGGGATTTTCCGACACCTATGGATAGGAAGGCGGTGCAAAGATTTTTAGGGCTTACTTCTTATCTTCGCCGTTTCATAGAAGGGTATGCATTGGTCGGTAAACCACTGTCTGACCTGTTGCGTAAGGATGTAGCTTTTGTGTTTGGGATCAAGCAACAAGTCTCGCTGCAGCAACTAAAGGCAGCTCTGGCTAGTGCACCAGTGTTACGGTTGTACAATCCGAAGGCTCTAACGGAAGTGCATACGGATGCCTCGATACATGGATATGGTGGTGTACTCTTACAAAAGGACAGCGAAGATTTGCACTTTCACCCAATCCAGTACATGAGTCGGAAGACAAAGCCAGCAGAGGAAAAGTACCATTCATATGAGTTAGAGGTATTAGCGATTGTTGAAGCACTTAGGAAGTGGAGAGTATATCTTTTGGRGTTGCATTTCAAAATCGTTACTGATTGCAACGCGTTCGCAATGACCATGAAAAAGAAGGATATTCCGCTAAGAGTATCCCGGTGGGCGTTACTATTACAAGACTTTGACTATGAAATAGAACACCGAAATGGCACCAAGATACGGCACGTTGATGCATTAAGTAGAATAGCGTGTCTTATGTTGGAAGATTCTTTACTGCTTATTAAGAGAGCTTATAGTAGTTCCATCGCTGATGGAAGACGAAATATTTCGGACGGCACATAAACAGGGACACTCCTCTGCAAATAAGACGCAGTTAGCAGTTCAAAAGACATTTTTTATTCCTCAGTTAGGCCCAAAAGTAATTAGAATTGTGAAGAATTGCATCGAATGCATCATGATAGATTCGAAGGTAGGAAGGAAAGAAGGTTTATTAAATCCAATACCTAAAGAARATCAGCCATTAAGCACTTTTCACTTAGATCATGTCGGTCCCCTGGAGCAAACGAARAAGGCGTACAACTATATTCTTGTTGCGGTAGATGCTTTTTCAAAGTTTGTGTGG